CGCCCGAGGCCCCGCCCCCAGCGCGCCGCTCGGCCCACGTTCGCGGACCACCGCGGCCGCGCGCAATAATGAGTCCCAGCTCTGCGCGGGATGACGCGCGTGCAGGCAATCGCTCCAGTGCCCGTGGGCAGCGATGACAAATTTTCAGGGGAATTAAAGATCCCCCGCTGTTACACACTGCCCTTAGGTCAACCCACACCTGTAGTTCTTTTTATATAATTAAAAGGTGATGCTTTCTTTTTCGAGAACTTCATCTGGTTCATCAACTGCCCATAAAGCCAAGGATCATGAAATGCAGGATTTGTATTACAAATAAGAGGAGCTAGCGCAATTCACCTGTCAGGAGGCCTGGAGCTCATTCATTATGCAAACCTACACTGGATTACTTACTTTCACTGGCCCTCAAAAGCCAAGTCCCCTCCAGCCGACCGCATCATGGCGGGGGAGGGGCTACCAAGTAAAACTCTAGTCTACTCATTTCCTCTAATCATTTAAAGAATGGGATCTTCCACACTTGTAAATCCTCCAATCACTAAACAGGAATTTTGTAACTCAAGGCCGAATAACAGCTAACGAGTTGTTACACAAAAAAGACACAGCAGAACATTCTTTCAGACCGCCAAACATCTGTGAAGCTGAATGGAGGGTGAGTGGCTATGGTCTTTGGATTCCAGTGGACATTAACTCTAAAAGGTGAACAAAGTCAATGAAGATCTTAAAAAGCAAATATAGGAATAGGAAAGCAAATGCAGCTAAGCCAGCAGCTCAGCTCATCAGCCACACAAATGAAAGTCTATCTAATAATGAAAAGGAGCATGTTTTGATTTTAAAGGGGGCATGCACATTCTCACGTTCCCTCAAGATTAAAAGATTTTATCCAGAAGTAGGGGAGGAGAGAGAACGGTTACAGCACCTGTCAATGCTGGGTTTCATGTCATTCCCTCAACATTTAAGGCACCAGGAGTAAAGAAAAGAAGCCCTACCTTCAGTCCCATGAATCTATTACAGGCTGGTAAATGCATAAATAGTAAAATCTAGTATAAAGGTTTCTCCAAAACATTGATATTGCCATTTGTCCACTATTTTTCAGGCAGAGATCATGCAGGAAGAAACATTTTTCAAAAACAACATGAATTATAGTTTTTTGTGCAATTTTATTCTGCCCTGTTAGAATGCTTCTCTAAAGCAGGAAATTACTTTTAAATCTCGAATTTGAGCTGTTTTCACATGCATGCATTTGAGTATGTACCTTTCAAGGTACAAATTAATGTAAGTGAAAAATTGTCCCAGTACCTAATCCAAGTACTTTAGGATATTAGGGAAAATATATACTGTATATTGAATACAAAGGCTGCGTTTTAGAAAGTTAAGTCTTATCCCTTCTCTAAAATAAAGACAAATGAAAGAAAAAGTAGTGACCCAAGATTAAAGGACCATATTTCTCTCCGTGTCCAGCCAATTGCAAACTAACACTCAAAGCCTGTTTTAAATCTTAGATGAAAATACATTAACTCGTTCCAAGTCCCAAATCCAAACAAGTTTACTCCTACAGTTAACCACATTCCTGGGAACTTCTGATATCCACGTAAAATCCAATAAAGGCAATTTATAAAGGAATTCCAAAAGACTGTTAAACTTCCCACCCTTAGGAGCCTATTTTTCTCCTGGCTTATTAGGACGGAAATCTGGCTGATACCAATTTGCTCCATGCAGACTCTTTCACCAAAGAATTTCAAAATGCTTTGAAAAAATTAAATCTCCCCACCTACTTATAAAGTACTATTATTACCATTTACAAGAATTTCTCAGGCGATAACAGCCTACACAATTTGCTCTGAGCCCAACAACCCATCAAGACAAGCATCGTATTATTAAGCTGTGATTTCCAATGCTGAATTCACTCTGTGCTACATCCCTGTCCCTAAGCACTTCAGTAGCATGTAACTCACTATCAGCCTCAGAAAGGCACACTTGCATTACATTCTGCCTTTTAAAACCTGTCTAGAGCACACAGTGAGATATGGCGACGATGTAAAAATCTCAAGCCTAATCTTTTAAAGAATGGAATTTTCTGCACTTGAGAATCCTTCAATCATTAAACAGGAATTTTCTAACCTAAGGTTGAGTAACTACCAATAGTTCTATAAAAGCAACTTTAAAGGCCCAGCAATCCATCCTTTCAGCGACACTGCTTCTGTGGGAAGAAAAAGCAGCTCAGAGAAATCACTAATCTAATCTTTCTTCAGTAATCAGCCTGGCTTAGGCAACCCTGACACTCAGACTGGCCTCCAAGAGAATTTAAATTTAGCTCCTCCCCCACCTTTTCCTCTTGCAGAACTTGCCAACGCCTCCAAGTGGCAGTGCAGGTCTTTCCTCCCTTCTGCCACATTACCCTGCAGGCCCTGTGCTAGGCCTTCAGCAGTGCCTTCCTGCGTTTTGCCACTATCCCTGGAGCACAGCACAAACATGATGGGCTCGAGTGTCGCACTGCATTAAGATCTTTCTCCTGGCAAACAAACAGCTCTTCTAGGCCCAACTCTTTCCAGGGCGTGGTTTTTTAGGCCAGGATTAATCTGTAACATGCAGATGTTTGAGACCTCTGAGCCCAAGGCAGGAACCAGTCAGGTTGTGAGTCTTGCACTGGCAGAAATAAAGAATGCTACCAGCTACTTCCTAAACATTTCTGTTCCTTCTTTTATAATCGTTTTTCTCCCCTTATCCCACCAGGGTAAAAATACTGAAAAGTGGGGGGAGAAAAAGAAGTATATGGTAGAAGTCCTAGTTTTATCTGTTAAGAGTAAAAGGATGTTAGATACATTTTCTCTTTCACCTTCGTTTCCGTTAAGGTTGTGTGTGTGCCTGTTATTTTTGCTGTTTCACTTTTAGTACCAAAGGGAAAAGTTTGCTGTGTTCAAGACAAATTATCAGTGTGTCTTTTAAACAAGTTTCTGAAAACACTAGAGACAGCGGGAGGGTTTAAACTTGAAATCCAAACTTGACCTTTGAGCTGAGTGTTACCACAGGCAGGCTGCCTCTCTTTTCTAAGGAAATACTATTGCCGGCATAGTTAAGTTACTCTAAATACTGAGTGAGAAGTATGTACTAGATCTGACAATATCTTCAACGGACTAGGTACATAATAAATCTTAAATTATCCCAAAGACAGAAGTATTTAATAAACATTTGATACTACAGAGGGAAAAAAGTATATAAACTAGACAACATTCCTAGATTTATTTCATGAACAGAATAATATTTTAAAGGTTAAATTTATAAAGAGGAATACAAGAATATACCCCACAACACCAGAAATTTGCCAAATGATGAAATTTAAAAACCTATGACTTCAACTAAAGGAAGCGTACACTATACTTAGCAGGATAAGCCTCTCTACGGTATCTTCTAAGCAGGTCTATGGAAAGTGAAACTGTAAGGCAAAATGATGTGTTTTTTCCTTCTTGAATGGCTGGCTCCTTGGAGTTCAGATTCTTAAAAAAAAAAAAAACTGTATGCAAAGTAGGCGTTGAATAACTTCTATTCAAGTGAGAAATGAGATGGCATTATTGCTAGCAAAGTAAACAATAGAACGGAAGTCCCCTCCCCCAAAAAATTCCAACACATGCATTAAATACTTTCCCTCAGGGGCCTCCTTGGTGGTGCAAAAGTTAAACACAGAGCCAACAAGCTATCACCAGCCACTGCAAGTGGAGCCAGCCAGGGAGCAGAACCCTGTGGTCAGCAGGCCTCTCCTGCCCGCAGCAGTGGGTTTCAGTAGCTCGGCCTGTTCTGCTCCCCGCTGTCTCTGGTGAATCTTCGCCCCTCCGCCCCCACCCCACACCTCTGGCTTACACCCCAGTTCTCAAATGCATAAATAAATAAATCTTTTGTAAAAAACAAATACTTTTGTTTATATAAAACCTCTACCCTTGCATAGAGTAGTCCAAAGCCATACTCTTTCTTAACTGACACTTCAGCTAACCCTCGCCTGGCTGGCTTGCCAAGTTCAAGAAGGAACATAAACAAGGGTGTGAATGAAAGAACAACCTTCAGGTTGTAAAAGCAATAGTCCACTCTCCCGGGACACTTCCAAGGGCAAGGCCACTAAGACGGGCACACCACTCTGCTGGCCTAGGGGAGGGAAGCACCAGAAATGTGGCTTGTGAAGGAGGCGGCCTTGAGGGAACTCGGTTCTGGAGATGGAGTTCAAATCAAACACTAGTGTCCTATCAATTTCCACCTACTTTCTTCAGAGCTGCCTCACTGTAAAATGATGTGATCTCTGCCATAGAGTGGTTGTGACTTTGTAAAAAAAAAAAAAAAAAACACAAATATTTGCTAACAAGTGTATTTTAATACACTGCTCTACAGATTTGTGTTAGAAATAACAAGAATGCAGAACTCAAAGCAAAGGAAATGCATGCTCAGTAAGGAGTAGCTAAGTAGAAATAAGGCTTTCTTCTCATCTCTCCTGGCCACACCTGCATGAGCGTCTGCAGGTGCACAACGTGTTCTCATATGGCCTTTAAAATTCTGAACCACTGGGCCCTCCCTTGTGGCGCAATGGGTTAGGACACAGCACTGCAAGCTGGCCACAGTGGCTTCAGTGCGAGTTCAATCCCTGCAGGGAGGTGGGGGCAAACCTCCCCTGACCCTCCAGCTGCTCCCCTCAGCAGTGTACTTCATGGATCTGCCTGTTCTGCTCCCCACTCTGGTGAATCTTCACACTGCCCCTGCACCTCTGGCTTGAACCCCAGTTCTGCATGCATAAATAAATAAATCCTTTAAAAAAATTCTGAACCACTTTCCAACATGCCGCCAAA